AGAGAGAGACAGCACAATACAGGCCTCCTTCACACTGAGAGACACACAGAGAGACAGCACAATACAGGCCTCCTTCACACTGAGAGAGACAGAGAGACACACTGAGAGAGACAGAGAGACACACTGAGAGAGAGAGACAGCACGAGACAGGCCTCCTTCACACTGAGAGAGAGACAGCACGAGACAGGCCTCCTTCACACTGAGAGAGAGACAGCACGAGACAGGCCTCCTTCACACTGAGAGAGACCAAGAGGCACACTGACAAAGAGAGATACTCAATATCTGACCAGAGTAAGAAGCAGCAAAGGTGAACAGACCATCACAGCTCAGTGACTACAGCCTGGCCATAGAAACTGGACACAGGCAGACCAGACTGCCCAGAGAGGACAGACTATACTCCCACTGCCAGCAGGGAGAAACGGAGACATTGATGCACTTTCTGCTGCACCATGAGAAATACTCAGAAATCAGACAAACATTCTTCCCTAAAATAACAAATCCAATCCCAAAATTTCCAATCCTGCCAGAATCAGAACAACTTCCAGTCCTGCTGGGGAAGGAAACTCAATTGAGCTGCAGCCCAGAATGTGATCTCGTGCCCCAGCCTGGGGAACAGAGAGTGAGCCTGTCTGATAGCAGGAGCTGGCCAGCGTGCTGTGGAGACTCACTGCTTGAAGAAGTTCTCGGGTCTCTTGCAGTAGTGACCGAATAGAGGGAAGAGGTTCCGGGTCATGTCAAACTGCAGCTGAGCTGCCCCGCCCTCGTTAAAGTGACTGGACAGGATCACCTGGGAGACAGGAGAAGAGATCGACAATGTCAATTAAAAACAAGAGAAATGAATGCAACTAAAATGGTTTGACTGTCCTAAAAAAAAACAAAGTACCCTTAAACACACAGAGGACCAAACACTGACAGTGTCCACAGGAGCGCATTCGGACAGGGGCAGGAAGGCCATCGATCGGTCTCCCGGACAGGGTCAGGAGGGCCATCGATCGGTCTCCCGGACAGGGGCAGGAGGGCCATCGATCGGTCTCCCGGACAGGGGCAGGAGGGCCATCGATCGGTCTCCCGGACAGGGGCAGGA